AACACGCCAATCATCCCCCCACACCCCCCCCCCCTCAATGGAAATACTTTTCTACACCACTGGTTAAATCATGTATTAATTAATGATTGCTTGATGTGGCAGTGTAATAAAAAGACGTCAAAGGTCATATATTTCTCCTTTTATTTTACAATAATGAATGGTGCATAAATATATAAGTATTTTAAATAGTTTTCAAGGTCGGAGGTCATTAGTGGCTATACAATTTTTCTTCTAAATCACATTTATGACATCATTCTAAGAGGTCAAAGGTCGCATGGTCGGTCTTATTTTAGAATCGCTCTCCAAATACCTATTTTAATTGTATGGTGTAGCTGTATGATAAAAAGAGATAAAAGTGGTCATGAAAAATAATTTAAAAAAAATCTTTTCATTTACTGTATAAAAATACTGATGAAGACCAGCTAAAGAAGTTCTCAATGTTATATATCTAGACGATAAAGAATAACCTAATTGACTAATGAACCAAATAATTAATTGATTACTTAATCAAACCAATCAATCAAATAATTAATATTCTCTTTTATTTCTTGTAAAGCCTATATTGTGATTGATATTTGCTGATTAGCCAGTGTGAGCACATAGCCGTTACGCCACTGCATTTGAATAATGAATTCTTACATGTTTTGCTTTTGTAGGGTGACCTCTGTCTCTTATACACATCTAGATGTGTATAAGAGACAGTTATTTGTTTGTGTGTTTTGTTTATTTTGTTTATTTGTTACAAATTTGTCACAATACATTTTACCAACTGAACAATAATATTTAAATATAATACACTAATCTACTGGAAAAGTCAAATGTCAAATAGAGTCGCAAGATAATTCAAATTTCAAAAGTCCTATTCCATGCACTTGGCGCTTAGGAAAAATTGTCCTCAGATCCAGTTTTGGTTTTAATTATTATTCGTGATATATACTTGTCTATGGCAGGTTTTCTCGTTTGATTTTCCGTTTCTTTCGTTGTTTACCTGTAAATACGAGAAAATTATTCAACTATTTTTTTGTTAAATGTATTTAGTCATTTGGCGTCTCTGCCCTGGAGACACAAAAGCAGGAAACCGACTGTCGCCAGATCTTTATAAAGATATTTATATTATATACAGTGTTATAAATAACTGAATTATTAATGTTGTACCATTTATACAAGAAAATATGTTTAACTAGTTAAAAGTCCTTCATACGGTTGTGCCAAAATTAATGTTGGTGAATTACTGTACATCTGTCATAATTATTGCCATCATCTTTGTCATTACCACTGTCATAAACATTGCTAACATCAACACTGCGTGTATCATTGTCGTCATTACTATTATCATCTTTGTCATCATTATCGTCATCATCGTCGTCGTGTCATTGTCATCACCATCATCATCGTACCATCATTATCTACACCATATCATCATCATCATCATCATCATCATCATCATCATCATCATCATCATCATCATCAACATCATCATCATCATCATGTTTCAACAAGTATAATTATCATAGTGTAAAGGAATTAATTCAATGTATTCCACTTGTTCAAGGCATTATAAAAAAAAATAATTAAAAAAATAATGATGATGACGATGATGACGAAGTTAAAAAATTATCTTCCTGGAACAACTGCCATTCCATGCATAATAGCTCAAATTTAGCCATTTACTTACCGTGTCTTTCGACACTTGCCATGCTTGAAATGCCACTGTCCCTAGACGCCACAAATGGCGAACATTCATCATCAAAAATAGACGTACTATGCCGTCGCTTAAGAGTGATTGGTTTAGCCTTTTTTTCAAAATCTTCCATCATTTTTTCAACATCTACGGAGTCTGAAAGAAAAAAGAATGCCAGTGTATTCGCCTGTATTCAGTAGTTAGTATTTTGGTACTGACACATATCAGATTAGAGTCTTTTATTTGTATTTTTGGAATTCAACTGGATCAGGAAAACCAACTGGTATTTAGAGTCGTCTAAGTGTGAGACATAAATTTAGCAATAAAGACAATTGTTTGGTTTTTTGGACACACTTAAACAAGACATAGTGTTTTCAAAATATTTGTCTTTAATAACCTGTACCGGTATGTCTCTACAATGTCAACGTTTGCTTATATATTTAACTTTTGGGTCATAGTGGAACTGAGCAATTATAGCCTGACAATTGCCTGCTGCTGTCAGTGAACAAAGAAAATTCGTCAATATTTAAATTTCCTTAATATTGCACTCAGTACATCATAGCTGCATAGCAGAGTAGTTATACCTGTTCGTAATATTATATTTGCTCCATCATTCACTGAAAAAAATACAGTAGCTAATATATCAGTGAAGTACAGAATGAAATGGATGCAATTTAAATGTATGATCAGGCCCGTAGCCAGGTCATTTCAAGGGGGGTTCTCTGGGCGTGGGGTCCAGGGGCCTGCCTAAGGGCCCCGGTGGCAGCCAGAGCAGTTTTTGTGTTTAATGGGTCTATGTAATGTTATAAAAGCAGTTATGTTTTGAAAAAGATCTACCGTATGTAATAAAAAGGTGGTAATATAATAAAATTAGAAAATATTTCGTGAGTGGATTTCCCGTACGATTAAAAATTGTAACGGTACCGCACCGTGAGTGGATTTCCCGTACGATTGAACATAGTAACGGTACAGGAGTTCGTGCTTCGAACAGGTCATTCCGTTCATAGAAGCCTTTTGATGGAGAAAGTGTACTTTTTTAGCAAAGGTTTGCCTAGGTCGAAACTAACTCCGGCTATATAAAAATTGATTAGAATATTGAAAATGTTATTCGTGTTTGAATAGATGAATAGATAAAGATTACTAGGCCTAATATGTGCATTTTTATTGATCTAATCTACGTGTATTTACTTTATATTTAAATATTTAAAATTGTTTATAAATTTATCTAAAATACTATATGAAATAATGTAATCATTAAAATTTATGATAATAATTGATATTTAAATAAAGCAAAAGATTGAAACATGTTAAATACAGACACAAAGTATACATAGACCTATTTCTAGATTACAGAAAATGTGTAAATCTGTATTAAAATGATATAAATTTATATACCGGTATATATATATATATATATCATATTAAAAAATGAAGATTCCACGTTTGCTTCGATAAATAAAAAATATAGAAAGACAGCAATATAAAACAGCTATGAGTTGTAGACAT